TAATTCGAGAGGGATGGTGGCCAGTCTCTCAGCAACCCATTACCAGATGTTTTCAATGGGTGACAGATCTGAAGACCGTGCAGGCCAGTGCAGCAATCAAATACCTTCTGTATGAAGGTAAGAACACGACATGCAACATGTGGTCTTGCATTATTTTGTTGGAAGATAGTGTTTGACAGGCCTCAAAGATGGGGCAAAACCACTGGACGTAAGATGTCAGAAATCTATTGATCTGCATTCAAATTACCAGTGATCCGAACTAGAGATGCATGTGTCATGCAACCAATGGCTGCTCAAACCATTATACCAGCTGCAGGGCCCCTACGGCGATACTGAATGCAAGCAGGTGACGTGCAATCTCCTGGGAGCCTCCAAACTCCTACATGGCCATCAAAATACTGCAAGCAAAACCGGAACTCATCTGAAAAATCGACCTTAATGACAAAGCTGGATACAGGACTTATGCCACTCTTGCATCCAGCTTTGTCGTTTGGTACACCAGAGTGGTTTGGTGCACCACAGTAATGTGTGTATGTGATTTTTCTCTTGTATAACATGGTTACAAGTCAGTTTCCTTAAGTAAGGTTTCCATGAAGGCATCCCTCCAATTAGGTAGATAGCTCCTTCATGCTTTAAAACTATCCTTCATGGAATGTGTATATGGAAGTGGCGAATTGAAGCGCTAAATGGTGCATTTGAGATTGGGAGGTAAAAGTGGTCTACTAGAGTAAATCATCATTCACCATGCAATAAAGTGAGATTCACCATAGAGTGCTATGCACTGCTACGTGAATGTGGTGCTTGACTACATGCATTTTATCTATAGAGATGGAGATAGAAACAGTGCAGCTGCTTAAATGATATATATACAAAGAAGGATTCCCAAGTAAACAGCTTCTGAACTGCCAAATATTGCAGAGTATAGCCTGCATAAAACTTGATTTTGTTACTGGTGGTGGTTGTGCTTTTGAGTGCCTACTGTAAAAAGATGAATCATTAAATTTTTTTTTTTTTTTTTTTTAAACTTTAGCCGTCCTTCTAATTTACCTACTTTTCATACTATCCTTATGTGCCAGAACTGACATAAGCTATTTCTGCATGCACATTCCATAAAAGATCTGCTTATTTGAATCTCCTCTACTTTACATTTTTACCAGACATTTTAGATTGGATTTTTGGACTGTATTATAGCCAAGCAGCCAAGCACATAAGGGTTACTTACCTAAAAAACGAAAGCCTTCATGGCGGACTTTTTAAGGCTAATTGGCTTGTATTCACATTACACATGGAAAAAATACAAAAACTCTCATGCAGCCAGCTCATTCGACAGGATTTGAACCTGGGTTAAACTACCAGTCTTCAGCAGTTTTACCCCTCGGGCGCTGGTGCTTAGGTTAAGTTATTGGAATACAACAGAGCACATGAGGGCTATTTGCCAAAGGGGAAGGATGCCTTTGTGGAGGTCTTTTTAAGGGAAACTGACTCATATTCATGCTACATATAAGGAAAACCAGGAAAAAAACCCATGCAGAGCAGACTTGAATCTGAGTAGAATGACAGTATTCAGCTCTCTTAATCACTTGGCCACTGGTGATCCCAGATACATTTAAATCACCTTGCATATATAAATTTACATACATGTGTGCATACCCGAACATACATGCCCACATTAAACATTTTATTGCAGATTTGAATTTGGAATAGGTTATGCTGATATTTTGAATGTCAACAAACTCATGCACTTGCTGCACAGGCAATATATGCAACTGCATATATAATGATCATACTGTGATACATAAAGTCTGATTACCTATAAAGTATAAAATATATACAATGTATTGGCATTGGTTTGGGGAATTTTTAGAGAGCATAATTAACCAATGTAACCCACTAGTGTCTAAAATAAACTAGTGTCACATTGTAACTGTTACACGATATCTAATTCAGGTAAAATTTTCAATTAAAAATTCTACTCACCAAGAATTCCCAACTGATTTTATTTCTTAATACAAAAGTTTAAAATGCATTGAAGCACTGAAAATGAATTGTAGAGTCATTAGGGTTTTTTGAAGCAGAAGGCATAAAAAATGTGCAATGCCCTCGCCAAGACTCGAAGCCTAAACCTCTCGAATATGCCTCAAGTGTGCTTCCAGTTACAGCATGAAGGCATGCAGAAAGGAGGGAGAAAATACCTTATAACATGATCCACGTTAAATTAAAATTCTGCAAATTTCTTCGAAGAATTATAGAAGAATAATATAAACATAGAGTAATAAAATTTTCATAGATGCTTTACTGCTTTCATTTTACCATGCATAGATGTTTTTAGCATTTAAACATTACACATGTGGAACATAAGGATTTCTCTGAAACGCAGACATATATAATATATTTAGATACATTACTGTTTTATTATCATTTTATTACACATAAAATAAAAAAATATTTGTATTTTACTTTAAACATAATATTGCTTATAAGCATCAGTAAAGTAACTCAACTAAATCAATGTAAGATAATAATTTGTATCAGCTTTAATTAAACATTTAACTACACTCATGTCCATAAATTAAGGATAATGCAAAATCAGGCAAGGGAAGAGTTAGAAGCAAAACAAATTTGACTTATTTGTAAAGCTTATTTATTAAACAAAAGGTAAAGAGCAAAAAAAGATGCTATATGTTTGATATTATTAAAAAAAATTAGCGATTTTTTCTCCCTGGAGCAAATTACAAGAAAAACCTATTTACAAAAAAACAATATTACATGGTTGGTATGATTGTTAATACATTGTATGTCTCCCAGACGATGCAATACAGTCCGTACAAACGCCTAGGCATGCTGAGTATCAAATTATCGATCTGATCTTGGGGGATATTACACCACTCAAAAAGCAATGCTCTCCGAAGTTCCGGTAGACATGTAGGAGGAGGTTGACGGGCTGCAACTCGTCGGCCAAGCATGTCCCACACTGTGCTTCTACTGGATTCAAGTCCGGTGAGAATGCTGGCCAGTCCATACGGGTGATATCCTCCGACTGAAGGCATTCGCTTACGATGTTTGCACAGTGAGGACGGGTGTTGTCATCCGTAAACACAAAATGTGCGCCCATGGCGCCCTGAAACAAACGTACATGTTGTTCCAGAATGACGTCCCGATAGATATGGCTTGTCGTGGTTCCAATTTGAACATGCAGGTCAGTTCTGGAACCCAGAATAATACTCCACCCCAAACGAGCACTCCTGCACCGCAGGTCAGTTCTGGAACCCAGAATAATTCCACCCCAAACGAGCACTCCTGCACCACCGTAACGGTGTCGTTCAATGATGTTTTCTTGGTGGTAACGGGTACCTGGAGCTCTCCATATGAAAGTCCGGCGAGAATCAGACTGCAAGCTAAACCTGGACTCGTCGGAAAACATCACACAAGCCCACTGTTGCGGTGTCCACAATGCATGCTCTCTACTCCAGGCTAACCGCAGGCGACAGTGAGTTGCAGTAAGTGGAATGCATCTGACAGGTCTACGAGCATATAGACCAATCTGCCCTAAGCGTCTGTACACGGTCTGCCTTGAAATTGTCGTACCAGTGGCTGAAGAGAGCTGACGAGACAGGTCTGAGGCTGTGCTCCGCCTGTTTCTTTTGGCAGTAACTGCCAAATACCGGTCCTCATTCGGCGTTGTAACTCTGGGGGACCTGTGCTGTAACGTCTACTCACATTACCGTCATCTTGGAATCGTTGCCAAAGCCTGGAGATGACACTCTGGGCAATTTCTAGTTCATCTGATACTTTCAGTTGGGTACACCCACATTCCAGACAGCCGGTAATTCTACCACGTAAAAAATCATCCAAATGCGTCCTTTGTGTCATAACTATTCGGTTATTGTACTGAAACGCTTATAAAGCGCCTGCAAACAATTTTACTTCTTTGCCTGTATTCCTCATATATCACTCTTACACTCTCATCATTGTGAGGTACCATCGATGTCATCTGGTTACTTCCTGAAATTTGCATATGAATCTTGAAGATGTGTGTAGTGATTTTACAGGTGATATATTTATTTTAGAGTTTGATTTCCGCGTGACTCCGAATTATCCTTAATTTAGGGACATGAGTGTATTTTAAGAGATGACCTAAGTCTGAAAAGCTATGTACAAGATTCATTGATAGGTAAGCATAAATATTTAATCAGAATAAATAGTTGAGAGCATTATATCAAGCTGACACAGTCTTGCTGACAGTAAGTAAAACAGAATTACAATAGTGTATGAAATTAATGCAAGACCTAATGATCATATTGTGCTATTTGTAAGTTAAAACAGAGTTTATTATAAGCCTTGCAGAAATGAAACGTAGGTCTCAGGTTTACACAACTCAAACTCAAAGGCTTTAAATGAAAAAAGTCTAGATAAAATTTTGCTATGCCTTTGAGATATTTGAAAAGCTAAAACATGTTATACTCATTGTTACAAAGGCTTCATCCTTGGGAAGGGGGGTTTGATATCTATACAAAAAGAATTAAATCACAAAACATCATAATATAATCATGTAATATACAAATAGTTGCTCTTGATGAAGCACAAAATGCACAGGGAAATATGAGTTATGAAATATATTCCTGGCTTATGAGATTTATATGCCATAACAATTGTTTGGACGAAGGAATAATAATTAAAACGTAAGCAATTTCAATTATTACATAATAGGCAGCATTTCTTTGTAAATAAATTTTATATTTAATTAGCATGCCTGATAAGTGAATCGTCCTGCAAATATATAGTTCTAATATCATCCAACAATACTCAATTTTTCTCCCCTCTAAAAGCATTACATTGAACATAGTGTAAAACATTTCCTAATTTAAAAAAGTTCCAAAATATTGAAAGGAAGAAACGATAAAATTTGATTTTTATTATCCAGAAACTTTGTCAGATTATTTGTTATAGTCATCATACTTATGTAAATATAAAATGAAATAAGATGCTTTTCAAGAACAAACCTATTACAGAGCTCGCTCCAATAATTTAAAGAAACTCCAGGTGCAACAGATATAGCTTCAAGCCACTAAAAGAAAATAATTGTACTGTCAAAGATAATGCATTAATTTTTTATAAATCGATCAAAAACAAAAAATGTGAAAGACCCATGGATTCTATAATTAAAGATTAGCTATAGATGGATAAAAACAGATAAAACACACTTTCAGAAGTTAGATTCTGAAAATTTTCCTTTTTCTATTCTATTTACTACACAGTTCATCTTTGGATAATGTTTTAGTATATTTTAAAGTATACATGCAATAAGAGCTAAGCCCTGCATGCACATACTATGCACTTGTTTCAGTATGTATAGATACATTTACACACTTTGCATTTAAATGTCATTTCACTCAATAGTATCCACCAGCTGTGAAATGTAAATATTGGTCTTATATGTATATATATATAATAGATTCTATAGTAAAACGCAGGTGGCTGTATCCGCAATGAACAGCTAGAATTTTGATGCCAGAGAATGCTGAAATGCCGATTTACAAGGAAGAAGAAATTTGGCAGGCAAGGTACATTTAATTTAACTTTTATTTCAGTAAACATGTTGTGGCCACAAACAAATTGGCACATTTATTGTTCCTATTCCAAAAAGCTTACATTTTTGATAGATTTGCAGTAATAAAGAAGGAGCAGACAGACAGCAGTCCTGCTAAGCCAAAGCGGTGAAAGCAAGTGCGTTATGTTCAGGGTGAAATCTTAATTCCGATTGAGTTAAGTTCTGGTTCTCAATGCATTTTGACTGGATAGTTAATATTGCTGTAAAACTATTATTGGCTGCTTGAGTTTTAGTTCCATTTACATCATCAGAATTATGTAAGAGTAATATGACATAGAATTTTCTCGAAAGACGCAGTGCAAATAGAAGTTACTATTTTTAGAATACAGAAGACAATTAATTCTCACTGCTAATTTAATCTTTTACATATTCTTTATTTTTCTTACACACACACACACACATATGTATATATATATATTTCTGAATAGAATAGCATCTATGAGTGATAAAGATTGCCAAGTAAAAGTTTTTTTTATCAATGAGCTGGTAGCTTTTTGGTGTTAATGATAGAAAGAGTCCATTCATGCAGCAGTCAAAATCCTATTACAAGTAGTATTTCAAGAATGTTTATAAACATTTCCTAGGAAATGTTTAAAAAAGCCACCAAAAAATAATGATCTTTTGAATTGAAATGAAGCCACAGAATGTAACAACCTTTAAAACTTCACTTTTCACAGGCTCATCTATATTTTACCCTTGCCATTCTCAGAACAATAAGAATTGAGCAAAATGAACATTTTTATCAAGAAATATCGAAAACTGGAGATTGTATCAAAATCACCAGCATGTACACTAACTTCTTCAAGATCCCAACCCTCTGAGCAGTGCAGGATTTTAGATCTGTCACGAAGACTGATATTTAAACAGCATATATTAATTAAGTTGGTATAATTTTGTATTTTAGTCTGTATTTTCATAAGCTTACATTTATTAAGATGATATTTACATTATTACATATGCACTATAAATACTGTCTGGTTCACACATTTTTATTCATGTCAAGCAATTTAGTTTTATAGATATACTCAGTTATTATGTTATTTTATTTTCAGGGTCAACCACAGACATATGGATCACAAGAAGCTGCATTTTTTAAAATCAAGTTCTGATGCTAAGCACTTTTGAAAGCAAATAGCTACAGTTAGGATCTAAAAATCTCACCTTCAAGTTCATATTTTAGTGTCAAACAGCTTGAAATTTTAGATGATATACATGTTACTAAAATACCAAAAATGAAAAGTTTTTAAAACAGATTTAGGTTTATTTTAGGACTATAGATTATTAAATAGATTAATATTGACATACAGGGTTAGAAATTTAATAGTGATGACAGCATTGCTAGAAGGAAATAGCAAAAGTGCTATCCTGAAACACACACAAAATCAGACCTTCTCATAGTGTAATGGTGATTGTCTTTCTACTGCTAAAGAAGCAAGTTAAATATAACAGTTATCATTCATACGAGTGAAAGAGGATTTCAGTTATCCTTCAACTTCTTTGTGGGTTTATTCCAGAACATCCTGCTACAGCAGTGGTTCTCAACCTGTGAAGCATGAAAGGCTTTGGGCTTGCATAGCTATCCTATATTTTTCAGAAGTAACTAAACTAAGCTTAGGATTATTGAAAAGTTCCACACCTGTTTTCAAATGTCTAACAAAACTGATTCTATGTCAATATGGTGTAAAAGTCAGATTTCTGGAAATCATGCATTGAAAAAAAAATACACCAAAATTTTCAAGACGCTTTACAAATTCTTGTCAGAAAAATTAGCTTCAATTTACAAACAAAGCCAAACAGAGCATAAGAATCCACTTAGAAGGTCTCCAAGGGGCATTTAAGCATTACTTGTCCAAATGAAATGAGAAGGACATTTGAGTTTCAGATCCTATCAATTAAAATTCTTTTAAAGTGGTCTCAAAATTAATATCCTCTGAAAGACAACCTATAGATTTCTAACCTTATTTATGGCAGTTATTAATTTTAGGGTATTTAAAAACTGTAAGATAAAACTGTAAGAATACTGAAAGAGAATAAAGGGGTCATTAGTTCTTAATGGGAAGGTTAGGGTACTCTTTATATTACAGTCTGTCTCATTAGAGTTATGCGAAAGAAAAAAAGTTGAGTACTGCTGTGCTAGAGCAACATTTTGATAAAATGCTAAGATTGGAAATTTGCTTTCAGCCTGATTTTAAAGAGCTGCTTTCTAAGAAAAGCTGCATATCCATACAGGTGTTGCACAGTCAGATAGCACTTTAATGTTAAAGTGCAGATAAGCTATTTGATAGGAAAATAAGTTTTACATTTTTGGTTTAAAACAGAAATACCAGTTGTATCACAAATGACTAGTATGGGAACATCCAGAGGCACACGCAGCACATTCTGCACTAAAGGGGCATCCACACTGGGGTCTAACTGAGCTTGGGGACATAAAACACACAGGAAGAACAGACTTGTCAAGGGGGAAAAAACATTTTCTGCCATAAGGGAACCAATATTTCTGAGTTAAAAATCTCAAGTTCACACACAGCAAAGCCAGTAAACACAGAGAAATGAATAATCATAAAAAAAAAAAAAGAATCCATAATTATCATAAGCAAACTGAGTTTCAGTAAACAACATGACCAAATATCTAAGCCAGAGTTTCTTAAAATGATGTAGATAGTCTTTGCAGAGGCTGAGAATAAATGTGAAATTGCTGCTGAGAAGTGAAAATATTGTTATATAATATGTGGAAAGAGAAATGGAAAATAAAGATTATTCATTTGAAATAAATGCATTGCAGAGAAAGAATTTTAAAAAATTATACAATAGGGGGAAAAACATAATCCTGAAAAATTTAAAAAGATGTCTCGAAAAAATTTAATTTTTTGATCTAAACTAAAATTTTCAAAGAAATAAATTTTTTTGAAAATATGATATACTTGTAGCAGAAATATAAAAGAATAGAAAAACATTAAAAGTATTCTATGTACAAATAAAAATTTAATACAGTTCCCTGACAGTTATCTGTTTTTATTATTAATTTATAATTTTTCTTTCTTATTTTAATCCTTTCAGGACGGGCGTCCTATATATGCATTCCCTAAGAACGTCTCTTACAGCCGGGCATCCCATCCACGAATCAATAGAGACTGCATTCAGAGGACGGGTGATGCGTATACGCATTTTAAGCTGGAACATTTTTCTCAAGGCCACTAGATGGCATTCTATGTCCATTACTTTTGAAATGAACACAGTTTTAGGTTCCTGGCTTTGAGTTTGATATATTCTGTCTGACTGTGGTATTTTACTCATAAACTGTTGCGAGGCGGGGGGGGGGAAGTGAAAACGTAAACAGAGGTGGGCTCTTTAAATCGCTGCGTGCTAATATAAATATTCGCGTGTCTGATTTATATCCAATTCCTTTTTTAATTCTATTTTTTCCTCTACTATATACGGTCTTTAGGGTTACTAGACAGCCCAGTCAGTTTTGCATTGACTTCAGATATATTCCCGTTTTTTCTCTTTTTATTTCGGGAAGTCTCACCTCTAGTCTATTATGGCGCGAAGGCGCTATTTATCAGAGGAAGAACCCTCGTATCGTTAATGAACCATTTACTAACGTAGATGAGAGTGATGATTCTTTTTATAAAGATTTAAAAAGTGATACTTTTTCTAAGAGTTAAAAAGTGATACTTATCCGTGCTTTGAGATTTACCACACTCAGTCTTCATTTTAAATTTTGTTACTTCTTACTGTAAATAGTCTTTATTGTGTTGTTTTATTAATTTTAGAGTGTATTGGTGAATTTTATCAATTAAAACTTTGGAATAATTTGAACAGCGCTTCCGAAAATTATTTTACAAGATAAGGAAATTTTTAAGTATATTTTCATGTAAAATAAAGGGAAAAAACGTTATTAAGTGCTAATTTTAACATATACAAGAGCTCAAGTACACTGCTCAAAACAATTAAAGGATATTGCGATTTTAGGTGGATCTTGGCCTGGGAAACTTTTTAGCTGATTGATACATGGTCGACAGATGTAGTAGGTTATATGAGAATAAATTACACATGTTTTGCAGAAAAAAATGCATTTTATTGCGCATTTGTGCAAAAGAAAAAAAAAAAAAAAAAAAAAAAAAAAAAAAAAAACACAATTTGTGCATATGAGAAAAAAAAGAATAAGAAAATGTCTTTTCTTCAAAGGAAATCATTTTCAGTAGGGGGTAGGGTTTCCACGGACGGCCAGCAACGTTGAACACCTTTGAGGCTATTAATCACGAGTTGGGGTGGTATTCTGTCCCACTCTTGCAAAGAGCTCTTTCCAGTTCTTGGAGAGTTGTGGGGGTGGTGGGCCGGCCAGCAACTTGTCCTAGAACGTCCCAAACGTGCTCTATGGATTCATGTCTGGAGAACACGTTGGCCATTCCATTCCTACGATTCCGTTCTCGAAAAGGAAATCCTCCACCAGGCTA